AACAACCTTGAGAAGAAGAAGAAAAGTTGGTGTACGTGACTGAGATCAGAAAGCAAAGCAGGACGCAGGTGGAGAGGACCGTGCACGTGGACAAGAGACTTTAACGAATCATATTGTAGCTAAGAACACGTGTACAGATACAGTTAACCAATTAGTTAGGAGCTTGTGCATGATAGGGAAATAGAAGAGCTATATTAACCGGGATGTATCAACAATAAATTGGCATTTGCTTGATCACATTGATCGTGTGCAGTGTCCGTGACTTCCGCGTCAACATCCCCTCAGCCTCCTTTTCTCCAGACTAAACAACCCCAGTTCCCTCAGCCACTCCTCATAAGACGTGTGCTCCAGACCCCTCACTAGCTTTGTGGCTCTCCTCTGGACATGCTCCAGGCACACAACGTCTTTCTTGTAGTGAGGGGCCTGTAAGTTTCTTGTAAGAAAAAATTTGGCTTAAATGATATTGAAAGAGTTAGGGCAGACACTAGGAAAAAATGTTGTGAAGAAGAGAGTTGAATGTTGCCCTGACAAGGTTCTTCCCTAACAGGACAGATGGTCACCTGCCAGCAATGGTAGGGACATAGCTGATCCTGTTGCTGATAAATAGAAGACCACTGGCTCTCCCTTGCACTGGTCTTTTCTACCCCTGGATAAAGATTGCTTGGCGCGCACAGATTGAGGTTATATTAATACCTTAGAGAACTGTTGATTTCTCTGCCACAAGAGCAGATCCTAAAAAAAAAAAGTTACGTTCACTTTTTCTATTTGCACTAGACTTTCAAAGGAAGATTAATGCCCGTATTAATGGAAAAAGCACTTCTCTTCAGTATAAAAAGACTTGCAGTATGATAGGACCTGAAATGGAACATGTAAAACCAAAATAAGTTGTCTGATTGTTATTTTTTTTTTTCACTCTAATGTGGTTTGCCCCCTTGCCATTCTTGGATGCAGCGGCTGCATTGCCACTGCAGTTCTGCGTACTACCAAGGTGTTTGCCTGAAATTGCAGTGTTGCAGTAAGCCATCAGAACAGTCCACATAGACTGACAATTGCATTTTGGCACCGAATGGCAGATTGTACTGACCTACTATGGAGATGGGTGGGAGATCCTGCAGAGTCATTTTGTTGCTCCTTGACAGGTTGCATTCTGTCTTCTCTTCAATTACCATATAGGAATGGGCAGCTTGGAGCAGACTGTAGCAGAGAAGTAGGCTTAGGAAGAGGCTCTTCCTTTCCATCCTGGGGAGGAAAAATTCCAGTGCCATGGAAACCAAAGTCGGTGAAAACCTGCATGTAGAAGAGACGCAAAGATACGAATCTCAGCAATGGTTTTCTCTCGTGTCGTACAGCCTTAGCAACATACCTTTGACAATTCTTTTGTTTCCAGCATTCTGCCTCTGATCCTGGAATACTAAGATTGCAGTTGTTGGAGTGGAAAAATGCAATCCCAGATATAACTCTCTTAGATGGTCTCTTTTTCTTTTTTCCTGATTCTTTTCTCAAAAGGTTTATTTTCCCAGAAGCTGGGAGTGAGTTCTCCCCACTGAGTCTCACGGTGGTTTTTATTGTATGACCAAGGGGAGAAGAACTTCTGCTGTCACTTTTGACCAGCCCAATCACATCATCAGATTTTCCCCAGAAAATCTAATTTACAAATTTGTGCTAGAAAACCTAGAAAGATAACGATAATTTAAAAAAAAACCAACAAAAACCCCACAAATTATGTTTCCTATTATTTTTTTCCATTTAAAAATAAGTCAGGAAGAAATATCTTGTTTTATTATACCCTGATGTGGCTGCTCTGATCCCATAGTGAATCATAGCTGTAACTCATACAAAATAAAAAAGGCCCAGTGCTATAAAGCCTTTATGGGCCCTGGGTTTAGTGTGTGCTTAATAACATCTAAGATATAACAAAGTCTACGAGATTTGAGCAAACTTATGGAGAAACCTGAGCTTTGCAGGATGTGTCCATGCACCTTGGAAGAAAGTCACTGGCCCTGGCCAACCTCTGTGTGCCGCAGTGCAGCTGAGCAGGGTGTACAGAGCGTGCCACCATCCTGGTCTCCTTTCCTTGTAGATTCTCAGCACTGTTGAAGGTCGAAGTTGGGTTTTATTTCCATGTGCATTGGTTTTGTGGTGTGTCAGAGTTATGGGAGCCTTCCCCCAGAGGCCCTTTCAGCCTCCAGATTTATGGGTGGCTTTTTTTCAGTAAAAAGCTACTGATAGCAGCAAAAAGACGGAGTGAAACCAAATGGTCTGAACAATTAATCTGGTTGTAATTGACCTAATTACTATAGAGTTAAAAGATTAAGAGTTTCTGCATTGGAGGAGCTTTAATCTAATCACTGCTGCTAAGCAGGGTCTGTATTATGCTTGCTTTTATAGCCTCCACTGGCCCACTCTTCCTTGTGAGCTGTTGAATATTATGCCCCTAATTCCAAGTGCTGGGGTTCATTTCTAAAACAGTTTGTTCTACGGGCCATGCTCTTGTAACAAATCAGTGCTGGGTACCTCAACGCTGCTTTCATTGCTGGTTATAGCTGTGCCATGAGGATATGCTCCCGGACCTGTTAGGACTCTACAAGGATCTGTGCGTGAGCTGGATCCCTTATGATTTAGACATCTGCATGAGCCGCAAGCGAAGCAGATATATCTGAGCTTGAAGGTTTACAGTAGGGGGGATTAACCTATGGGGAGCTGAGTGCTGCTTTGTTCATATTTCAAATGCAGCTGGTGTAGTTGAAAGCTGGTATGGAAGTTGAGACCCAAAGTGGATCATTGTTGTGACTGTGGATAGACGTATCCTTTGAATGAGTTGATTAAAATTTTGTCATAGATGGGAGAAGTCTTTAATTGGATCACCAATCACTAGAGGACAAAGTATGTCTTCTCTAGAAGAAAATAAAAATTGCAATAAATGAAAGGAACATGTCCTACCATGAAAATGTGTTGTGATGGTAAACTTGTGGGCTTGAATTTTCAGCTATTGTAATTTAGTAAAGAATCTGTTTGCATTTTTTACATGCTCTGATCTTGCAGACTCTTACACAGAAGTTCAGCCTTTGCTGTGGTAATTGCCTATGAATAATGGGAAATACATGAAAATGTTTGCTAGGTCAGAAACCTAGCCTGAACTTTTTTTTTTCCTATGCAGAAGAGAGACCCTTTTCTAATTTTTTCCTGTCTCTTTCCACAAAAGATGCCCAAGACTGTCTGAGATTTTTTGGTGCTTTCTAATGACTTTTCTAGCACATAGTTATATGTGGAGGTAACCATTTAGGTCTTAACCATAACCTTTGAGGTCAAAATTAGAACTTCTTTTTATGTAACTCATTTCACCAACCTGATTATCCCTGGTGTTGTTCATACTCTAGGTATATGCTTAACATTCAAAAAAGAGCTGAATAATGGCTTGTGTTCCCAAGTTTGTGTCTATGATTTCCAAATATGCAATTGGTCAAATAAAATATATTACTTAAACATTAAGCAAGCTGAGGTTTTTTAAGTATGCTGATTTTCACAGGATCCAGCCATACAGGGAAGGAAGAATTTTTTATGATGAGGCTGGTGAAACACTGGCACGGGTTGCCCAGAGAGGTGGTGGAGGCCCCATCCCTGGAAACATTCAAGGCCAGGTTGGCCAGGGCTGTGGGCAACCTGATCTGGTTAAAGGTGTCCCTGCTCCCTGCAGGGGGCTTGGACTGGATGGCCTCTAAAGGTCCCTGCCAACCCAAAACATTCTATGATTCTATAATACAGGGCATGTCTATGACAGGTAGATGCAGATATTTGGGCTCTAATTCTTTCCATGCTCTGAGCTGGAGTGAAGAGAGCTAGCTGTGAGCCGGAAGCTGTTTTAATTTGCACATAATGGTGTTCATGCTGTAGATTTTTGGTTTTTTAAGCAACTTTTTAGCCTAGTTGCAGGATATGCTCTATAACATACCTATGTTTTTCAGATAAGCGTCTGCTGCTCGGCTGGAGTATTGACATAGCTGGCACAGAACTGCTGGAGACCATGTCAACATGCCTCTAAAGTGCTATTTAAACTTCTTCTGCCCCCAAATGTTGTTTCCATTGTACTTCCTTGTCTTTATCTCAGCAAAACTGCCAATGAAGGCAATTGCGCCTGTGCAAATTTAATAAAATAGTAAAGTTTTAGGGCTTGCATCTGTTCACTTCAAACAGTGACATCTGAACATGCTCTGGTGTTAAAATGCAAACCTTGTTGCATGTGTTGATTTGAATTCTGGTGCACATGGAGGGGTTTTTGCCAAATGCGCTTAGGTGGTAGGAATTTCACAGCCTTCGAGTGACTGTTTGAACATGGAGAATGCATATAGTGGTGAATATACATTTGACCATATATTTCATGGTCACCTGGAACCGTGCTACCCAGTCTCTAGTGCAATCCCATCTCAACTCTCAGGTTTCAGCAAGGGAATAGCAATAACAATGGAAATGGCGTCTTAAGGGACATTTGGAGGGAAAGGAATGAAACTGCCTGAAACAAAGAAGATTTGACAGTTCTCCAAGCAGTGCTCCAATGACCCCAATTCCTCTGCAGTATTAGTTTCCTACCCTCAGGTTAGGCTTGACTGCACAGAATGCATAGCAAAGAGATGTGCTTTTTCAAAGCTTTAAAGGGCATTGCCAAGATGTAAAAGCACATGAGTAAATATAAAGGAATAGCTGCTACTCATCCTCAAACCACAAAATAATTAAAAATAAAACTAACTCAAGCAAAGCTCTCCCCACCAAGGAAACTTGGAGGCCCTATTTGGAGTCTAACCTGAATCTCAATCTGTTTGGATTGTTTCATTCAGTATTGGGAGAACAGGCTGAATATCTTAGGTCCCCTTTTGGCATGGACCTCTCATATACCTCTGAGGTTCTGGGAGAAGGATCATGGGGCCAAATCTTGCAGAGAGTTTTTGGTGCTTGGGTAGACTCCTGAATTTCTCAATCCCCTTCATGTGTTCTTCCATGCTCCCCTGGAAAGCTCTTGGCCAATCCCACCCAACACATCTGCCCCTGTTTTGCATGCCATTGAAATATATGAAAAGTTGAATGAGAGCTTAAGAACAGCAGCTTTATGAAAATGTGGCTATGTAGTATGTATACACACTTAAGGTATGCTCAGTTATGATTGGTTTAGTGTGGTTTCTCACCTTTGCATGTTACAAGGTGGACCCTTCGAAGCATGAGAAGGAAAATAACAGTGTGGTTTTGTTCCTCTGTTGTATTCTGGTCTTTGAACTCTTAGGCCATTTGAAGATCAATTTTTCATGCTTTTCAAATGCGATTGCACAAGCCAAATACCTGAGTACATCCAAACCAACAAAACAATTTTTAATTTCCTGGGTACATCAGGGAATATGTTTTCCTCAGCATTCTGATCTATTAATATTTTGCTTTAAGTACAACTTGGCAGTTGTGATACGCTGTGCAGGTTGTTGGAGGAGGACCAATACATAGAATACAGGTAGTTTTATAAGGCCTGCACTTCAGACTGAGGTGAGGGGTTTCTCTGGGATTGCCCATGAAGTTCAATTTCCAAATGCTTTCTAATCTTTATCACCTTAATTGACTCTGCTTGGTGACAATGCATCACCCATGTTGGTGACAGGGGAAGCTTATTTCTCAAAAAGGGAGGAAACATTACAGTCATGACTTGCCTTGCTGAAATTTTGTAGGAAGAGAGGTGATTGTCTGGTTCTTCTCTCATCCTCCTTACAAAGACAACATCTGGTGTGGCTTGATACAATGGGAAGGTGTACACATGCAGCAACCGTAGCAGCTGAGCCGAACAAGTTTTTATTCCTGGCACAATTCCCTAAGCTATCTACAAAAATTAAAAGCTCTTCAGGGGTCCTGCTGTTGAGAAATGCTCTGTTAGCTACTATAGTATAAGTGAAAGTGAACATATAGAGAAACAATTGAGGAAATACGCTGTGGCAAATATTTTAGTATGCTGTCTTGAACAAAATGACAACTGTTGAGGAAAACTGTCAGGAAACTACAGGTCTAAGAGTTCCTTAATGAATGTTAAATATAAAAGGCTACTTAATCTACCACTTCAACAAAGAAATCTTCATCTCTGGTTCAAGGAATTACTGAAAATAACTGAAATTTCTAAAGTAAAGAAAAAACGCAGACCTGTCAGTGGCCCAACAGTGATTAAAAGAAACTGTGAGAGTATTACCTATTTGGGAAGGCAGGTTGTCTGCCATTCCGAAGGAGAATGATTACTTGTGATTTC